ATACATCCTTGCAGTTGCTCCGAACGAGTACTGCGAATACGCGCGGCGGTAACCTGATTTGACAACAAAGGGAGAGAGAGAGAGAGAGAGACCCTCCATCCGCGTAGTTGCTACATGCTGTTAAGACGGATGCGCGCGGCGTTAAGGCGGGAGTCTTTTCCTGGGGGGAAGAGGGAACAGACTCCAGCCATCTAATTGTTACAAGTTTGGAGGTGACTGCGCGCGGCGCTAAGGCGAGATCCTCATTTTGACAGCGACCCCCTTCCACCGTTGTTGTAGTTGTTGCCTGCGTGTTGTGTTTGTACAAACTGCGCGCGAGAGGCCAACGTTGAAAGCCACCACCCTCCACGATCATAACTACTGCAAGCTCTGCAGACGAATGTTGCGCGGCGCTAAGGCGAGAGTTCCATGTTCAAAACGGCCCGATCCATCCTCGTAGGCGTTACACTTTTCCAAGCGAGTGCGCAGGGCCCCAACGCGAGAGCCTCATGTTGAAGACGACCCCCTCCACCGTTGCAACCGCTGCAAAAAGTTTACGCGAATGCGCGCGGCGCTAAGGCGAGAGCAATGTTTGAAAACGCCCCCCCATCTGTGTAAGCGGTGCCTTGTTCAAGCTCTAGGGTCATCAACCGTGCGGAGATATCAGGCGAAACGCCCAGCCTTCCCAACCGACACACCCGGAGGTGCGACAGGGATGAGCGATCCATAAGGAAAAGAATGGATGAGGACGAGGGGGAGAAGGAGGAGGAGGAGAAAGGAGGGTGGATGAGGAGGAGAAGGAGGATGGATGAGGAGGATGGATGAGGAGGAGGAGGAGGAGGAGGAGGATGGATGATGGATGAGGAGGAGGAGGGGGAGAAGGAGGAAGAGGAAGCACACGAGGAAGGAGGGCGAGGACGGCAGGCGAGGCGAAGGAAGAGGGCGAGGATGAGGGGAGCAGGACGACGAGGAGAATGTGGAGGAGTGGTGATCGAGACGGTTTTTCTTCCATGATTGAGAACCCAGAGAACCTTCTTGGCACAATAACTGTGCAACGGCACAATGAACATGTCACGGAATACCTCTTGGAGGTTGTGAACATGTCAAACGGGCAGGAGGAAACGTTGTATGCTTGAAGCGATCGAGACGGGAGGGGTGAGGGGGACGAAAAGGCGGAGGAAGAGCGGAGGAGGAGGGAGGAGGGCGCAGGAGTAGGAGGAGCCGAGGGAACAGGAGAAAGAGGACGAGGGAGGTGAAGGGAGAAAGAGGGGGAGGAGGCAACGGGTGGGGAGAGTAGGACCAGATCAAGACCAGCATGTATCAACGATGTTGCAACAAGTCCTCCCGCTCCCCCTCTTCCTCCTCCTCCTCCTCCTGCTGCTGATGCTGCTGCTGCTGCTGATGGCGGTCGTGGGTTGGGGGGCAAGGATGGGTGGGTACCATTTCTGGGAAAGCTGCCACTCCCTCGTAAGGACGGGCGAATTTCCCAAAGGTGCCCCTGCATCTTTGCCCCTTTGGCCCATCCCCGGCGACTTTCGCTGGCCAGCCTCGTTCGAAAAACGTTCACATGGGCCTCCAAGGCCCTTGCATCCTTACCGCGCATGCTTATGATACGGGCTGGCTGTATGGTCAAGACGCTGACGTAAGGACTGCTTCGGACCCCAGAGGGGCTCGCTCAAGATGCAGGTCGGGGAACCTATTCGAAGCCAAAGTTCGCCGTGGTCGGAGAAGCCCCCGCGTTCATTGTTCGGCATCCTTTTATGGTAGCACGGCGATTATACTGCAATCGAGGTGGCGTAGCCAACAGACGGATTGACGGGATTGAGTTCGAAGCCTAGACAGGGGGAGGGGAGGTGGCAGAGAACATGTGCGACGCATCGCGAGTTGAAATCGTATCACGCGGCCGGTCTCGCGGATTAGGGGGCCGTGTTCATGTACGTGCTTTGGCGCGTGCGTCTTTTGTGGGCTCCCTAGAGCTGGGGCGGAGGCATTGACATCGAGTCGCAAGCATGCGAATTATCGAATTTGCTGTGCTGGGTCAGTCCGTGGCCGACTCGTCATCGCTCCGGGTCGGTCGAGGTACGGCGGAGCAGCCGCCCGAGAGGGGCGCAGGGCACAGGGAGAGAGAGAAAGAGAGAGAGAGAGAGAGAATGCCCGCAACAGGGTGGCCGCGGCGGCGGCAGAGGTACCTCGCTTCCTCTTCGTGCTGTGACCATGCCACGTGCAGACATCGAGATCGGCCTGGCTGTTGTGCACGTGCTTGCCACGTGTTGTCCGTCGGTCGCAGCACTGGCGTCGGTAGACCTGCACACTCGGAGCGGACACGATCGTGCGCACGTCCGTGATGGCGCGAGCGCGCGAGCATGAATGCGTGCACGGGTGAACGGGCTGGCGAGCACGACTCTTTGATTCGGGTCGGTCCACGTCGTGCGCGCAGATGGTTCTGAGATTCGTTCGTGCTTCCATCCCGGGTGCTGTCTCGCGTTGATTCCCCAGTGATTCTTAGCTTTTCCTATCGCGGCATCCCTCTTCCCTTCTCGCTCGTATGCGTACCGTGTCGCTCAGACTGAGGGCAGCCCCCAGGTCAGACACATTATCGCACGTCGCGGTCACTCTACATTCCGATGCATATGTATATGTGCACATGTGCACGATTATATGTACGCATGCCTCTCACTGCCATAGTGTCCTCGGGTGCCGCATCCGTTTAGACTGCGAGTGTGCATTGCCTTTTTTTGTTGCGAAGGAACAGAGAAGGGGAGGAGAGGAGGGGAGTGGAGGGATGAGGAGCAGGTCTCTACATTCCATCGCTACGTGTTGCGTAAGCCGCAGAGTTCGCGCGTGATCGCCGTCGGCGCCGCCCAATGGGCACAATGGCTAGGAAGCTACCGAGAGCACCCATCATGGCTGCCACGGCGGGGTCGGTATATGCACACATATAGATTAGTATAGATCTTGCTGTTTGCATCATCTCTCATGTGTATGGCCCGCCATGTGAACCACACGAATTGCATGGAAGATTCGTGAGAAGGTGAAGGGAGGAGGAGGAGAATGCCGAGGATCAGGAGGGCGCGAAGGCGAAGAAAAGACGGGGGCAGAGGGAGAGCGACGAGGAAGCGAAGGAAGAGTAGGATGGAGGATGATACCAGATTTTCTGCACGTGCACATGTCTGTACAAGTTCATTCGCGAACTGCTTTGGTGCCGCCTTAGGCTACGCGTCTTGATCGGAGCGTGGCGCCGCTGTGCAAACTCCATCTTCCTCCTCCATCTCGTGTGTGTGTGTTATCTCAGGCCAGTCTGCTCTGCTAGTCTTGCAGGTGGTGGTGGCGGCTGGGGCGGCCGTGACACTGACCGGCCAGCCACTGCAAAGGGCTGGAGCAAAGGCCAGCACTGAGTGCGCGGCCGGGAGCGAGCTGGAGGCAGCGCCGCACCGCCGTCCCTTTCTCCAGGCCTTCCCTGAGAACGGAGAGCCAGCAGGAGGTGAGCGGAGCGACGGGCAAGAAGACAAAGCAGGGAAGGAAAACGGGATCACGTGAGGCGAGGTGGGATGCGGTGAGGCGGACTCAGATGAGGTGAGATGGGATGAGATGGGATGTTGTACATGGTGAGATCAGGCGCACATGATGTTCTACACTGCCAAACGTGAGCCGCTTCTTGACACTCCCTCGTTGGAGATGTTCTCTGCCGTAGTCTAGGCAAGACCGCCGCGAGTCACTTCCAAGACCCAGTGCCAGATGGCAAAACGTGGCATGCACGCTGCGTGGCTGAAGCCAGCGAGGCGGCAGCGGCTGCAAGGGCCGCGGCAGTGGCTACCCGGCGTGGTGCGGACCGCCCGGCTGGCCGCGACACTGGTGGCGGCGGCGATGCTGCGGGCATTCGGTGGCCAGGGCTCGGGCGTTCGAGGCCAGGGAGGAGCGGGAGCGCGCGCGCACTTTCGATGCGGCCGCGAGGCCGAGGCGCCGAGAGAGGCTCAGAAGAGGAGGGCGAAGAAGCCCCAGTGACACATCAACCGCCACTCGATGGCTGCGTCCCTCGCGGCCCCTGCTGTCCAGGGAAAGGCTGCCGGCCCGCGCGGGGGGGCCCGACCGGGTGGCCCTGCTCGCGCCGAGGAGCGCGAGGGCGCCCGGCAGGAGAAGCCCGGCGTAGAAGCCAGAGGATGCCGAGGAGAGCCTCCAAAGGTCCTCGGAGGTCTCCCAAGGCCCCTATGGACCCAGACCCCATCGCGTCGTGAAAAAAACACGACGGAAGGTTTTTCGCTATTTTTCGCCCTCTGGAGCTCCTCACCGGGCCTCGGGACCGTGAAAAAACGACCCAGAATGAAACACCGGTCCCGGGGAAGGGGTCCAGACGACCGTCTGGGGGTCGACGTTGTGAAAAAATCACGACGTCGGGGGTCTGGGGAGGCCCCGCCCACGCAGAGAGACGACCAACGGCCGCAGAGGCTCGAAGGGCCAGGACTACCGCGGACGCCAACGGCACCCGGCACGGGCCGGCGGCCGTACGGCGCGGGCTGGAGCAGCGGCCGCCGCAGGCGGCACACGACGCGGCCCGCTCGGCGCCGCGCCCGCCCTGTGCCGCGGCGAGCCTCGGGGGCGACTCCGACGACTGCGACGAGGGGCGCGCCACGCCCAGACCCCCTCGAGTCATGAAAAAATCACGACGGAAGGGTTTTCTATAGTTTCCGCCTCTGGGGGCCCTTACCGGCCCTCGGGACCGTCAAAAAACAACTCAGGATGAGAAACCGGTCCCGGCGAATAGGTCCCGACCTCTGGGGGTCGCGTCATGAAAAAATCATGACGTCTGGGGTCTGGGCGGGCTCAGGTGGCCCGCCCGCCCCGCCATCTGCAGACGCTGGCCACGCCAGCGGCTGCGCGGGGGGGGGGCGGCTGCGCGGGGCCAGCGGCGGGGCGGCGCGGTGGTGCGGCGCACTCTGCCTCCGAGCGATCCTGCTGCTGACGCCGGGCCGCTCTCCCAGGCGCCTGCACCCCAGGACCCCCGACGTCATGATTTTTCCATGACGCGACCCCCAGAGGTCCGGACCTATTCGCCGTGACCGGTTTTTCATCCTGAGTTGTTTTTCGACGGTCCCGAGGGCCGGTAAGGGCCCCCAGAGGCGGGAACTATAGAAAACCCTCCTGTCGTGATTTTTTCATGACTCGAGGGGGTCTGGGCCCGTGGCGCGCTGGACGGCGCAGGCCGGGACATCCGCCGACGCCCCCCCGCACCTCGAGGCCCCGCTGCGGGGCCGCGGGCGCGGCCCTGGAGATGTCCGAGGGCCGGCAGGCCCGCCCCCGCGGGGCTCCCCCTGGCCGGGCGGGCGTGGAGCGCAGGGGCGCGGCGTCGGGCTTGTCCCCCTACAGGGGGAGGTTCGCCGAAAAACTAAAAAATACCCCCAAAATGCTCCAAAAATAGTCTGGGGACTATTTTTGGAGTATTCGTGTGGCCCTTTTGGAGCATTTTGGGGGTATTTTTTATTTTTCGTCGAAGATCCCCCTGCAGGGGGACACGCCCGACTGAAGGCGCGGCCTTCATGCGGGGGTGCGCTCCGGTCCTGGGCGGGCAGACTTGCGCAGCTGCACCGGGCCCGGCCGGGTCTCCTCCTCCCCGCCCTCCTTCGGGCAAGAGCGCAGCCCTTGCCCGCCTTCGGTGAGGGCCGCTCCCCGCCTTCCTTCGGGAACGCGCTGGCAGCCCGGGGGCGAGGCCAGAATCGCCGCCAGGGCGTCCTGGCACGAGCTCAGAGCGCCCTGGAGCTCTCCGAGCCGGCCGCAGCGCTCCATGCGTCCCCCAGAACGGCCGGCTCTCCGAGATGCCCGATGGGTTTGGTCGACGCGCCCCCCAGAGCCGCCAGCTCTCCGAGATGCCCGATGGATTCGGTCCAGCTTCTCCCGTGTCCGGCAGGCGCGGGCTGGCAGCACCTTCTTTTCCCATCCTTCGTTGCTCTTGCGCGCTCGCTGGCCAGAGGAAGGCCGCAACCATCTTTAAAACCCAGGCCGGTATGAAGAGGCGACGTGGTCGCGGAAACCTCAACCAGAGCGCGTGCAAAACGAGCTATCCCCGTCACAGGCTTGAGATCATCATTTGTTGCATTGTGCCTCGTCCTGTCTTCGTTTCAGACTTGGCGGGGTGGAGGGCCGCGTGTTCCCGCGGGGACCTCCGGCTGGGGAGGGAGGCGAGGGAGACGGGGGAGACGAGAGAGGGGGGGAAGAGGAGTGGGGAAGAAGAGAGGGAGAGAGGACGGGGATGGGGAGGGGAAGAGGAAAGGGAGAGAGATGGGGATGGGGACGGGAGGGGACGGGACGGGGAGGGGGACGGGAACGGGGACGTGGATGGGGAGGGGAAGTTGGAACGGAGTGGGAAAGGGTGGACGCGGATGGGGAAGGAGAAGAGAAAAGGGAGAGGGGAGGCGCAGGAGGAAGGGGAAGGGGAGGGGGCTGGGGGAAGAGGCGATGGGGGAAGAACGCTTGACAAACCAAGCGGCAGGACGACTAATCGATAACTGACACAGGTCACACGCTAAAGAGCAGAGGATGTGAAAAATACACTAGAGGAGGCTCCTCCTCCTCATCCTCCTCCAGATGCTCAACGTTTTCCTCCGCTTTCTCCAGATGGTCCTCCGTCCCATTCCCTTCTACATGACTCCTCCCTGTCGTACCACCAAACGTGTTCGTAGGCCAGGCCAGGCGTGTGATTTGAGACTTCCTTATATTTGACTAAACACCTCGAAGCTTAGCAATTCCAACAGCTAAGCGGAGGGCCCTTTTCAAAATTGGGTTCTCGCCGGAGCGTTTCCCACATTAGCTTTCAAAGTTCTTCACAGTTATATGGATGGAGGTGGTCCGTTCAAAAAATGGGGTCTCGCCTGAGCGCCGCGCACATTCGTTGTTAAAGCTTGTAACAGGTATACGGATGGAAGCCGAGCCTTTTCAAAATGGGTACCTGGCGGTAGCAGCACGCCGATCCGTCGCAAAAGCCTGCAACCTCTACACGGATGGAGGCCGGGTCCTTTTCAAGATGAGTTTTCGTTTAGCTTGAGATTTTTACAAAGAATGTAAGCTTCAATGTATCCTTGTGCAAGAGCTAACGGATGGAGGCCCCAGCCGCTTGGGACATGTTTGAACAAGCACTATTACGATTGTAACATGTTGCAACTGCTGCTCGGATAGAGGGTTTGTCATTTTCAAAATGGGGCTTTCACTTGGGATTGTCATGATTTCCACGGCGAGAAGCTAGAGCGTATGCAACAGCTGCACGGACGGGGGGGGGGCGGATCCGAGTCAAAATGGAAGTATCGAGCGAGGCGTCTTCAATTCCAGCGACCAGACAAGCAAACCTGGGCAGCAGTTACACGGACAGGTGCCGTTCCTCTCCTCTCCTGAGCGGAGATCTCGTTGGGCACCGCACTGAATTGAATGCACCTGCCGTCTCGCATCCCCAGGCGCTAGACGATGGAAGGCAGCTCCTTCTCAAAACGGGGCTCTCGCTGGACGCCCCGCGGATCTGTATTGTTCTGGCTTGTCGCATTCCTCCTACTCCGCCAGAAGGATGCACAGCAGCTCCTTCTCAAAACGGGGCTTTCGCTTGAATGGCGGGTGGCGCAGTAAGAACCGCTTGAATGGCAGGCGGCGCAGTGAGAAGGATGGCTTCTAAGGACTTGTGAGGGGGGGGGGACTTGGGACGGGAGGGTATGTTGCAGCACCCTTTTTTTTCACGTAGTGGATGTACTCTGGTCATCCGCATCCTCCTGCCCCACCTTCGCTGTCCAGGGCGCGCTCGAGGAGATGGGGGGAAAGCAGGAGGAGTCTTGATCAGTCAGTGCTCTAAGATTACATGCTAGCCTCTGCCTAAGACTTGCTTCGGGGGTCTTGATCCGTGAGCTGCTCATGGCCTGTTGCGAGGCCCTCCTCGACAATCGGACCCAAACGGGTTCGGAGCTCATCTGGCGGACAAGGCTTGACCCTACTCATTGCCCCACCTCGGGCGCGCACCGCTGCAGCAGGCCCCAGCCTCCTGGAGGAGGGGGGGGGGGGGAGAGAGGGAGGGAGGGAGGGACGGAGATGAGGATGGAGGAGGGAGGAGGGCGAGGAGGAGGAAGAACAAGGTGGAGCAGGGAGGGGGGTCAGGGGGCCAGGGGGAAGGAGGGAGAGGGGGAGGCCATTGGACCACCTCCCCCGCTTCCCCCCCTCCCATCATCACCCTCTGGCACCACTCGGAGGGCATCCGGCCCGGCAGGCCCGCCCAGCACGAGGGAGGGGGCGCGTACAGTTGCGAACGGGCACCCCCAACCCAAGGGCCCGTATCCTGATGCCGCGTGGAGGTGAGCCGAGTGCTGAGCATACGTTTGCATGTGCCTCTGTACATAGAAGCACACATACACATAAGAATGCATACCGAAGTGTATGTTTTGTACACATACACACAT